ATAGAACAGAACATACTCTAGAGTCTAACTCGATCATTGACAGGGCCGGCTTACGCTTCGGCGTTGGTTTCACGATGTCCTTCCTCATCTACTCCTGCGGCATCGCTCTCTTTCTCACAGCGTTCGTCGCTCCAAATATCTGACAGCGTTCCCTCAATATTGCGCAGACGGTCTGTTGGCCTTCTAGACTGCAGTGTCGGCTGGCCTTATTGCTGATGAACCATGTGCGTAGAGTAGTTCGACATTGACGAGCCGGCCGTCTTCATGTTGATCATGAAGCGGCTAACGAGCACAGGAGGCTGTATGACCAGTCCAGGAGCAAAACAAGACTGACAGAACGCAGGGTACGCACCAGGGTTGGTGTTAACGCGCTTATAAGTGATGTGTTCTTGAGCTCGATGTCAGCTATCGGCCCACGTTCTCATGTCGGGGACATACCACGGAGCCGGTGTCTGTTAAAAGCTGAGCTATGTTCATCGCAAGGAGAGCTCTATATCCATTGTCGCCTGTGAGTAATTCCTCCCGATGCAGCTCTCTCGTCACACTCACATGAAATACATGGTTCCTGCATGTGTATGTGGGCGTTAGTAATAGGAAATGTGAAGGCGCACAGAGGACTACTGACCATCACGCAGCAGACACGTCGTCAGTGACACTCTTATGTTGAGATGGCGGGTATTCTTCCACTGCCCGAATGTCTTGATCCAAGTCAGGACGAGTACGATTGCGTCGGCGAGGATGAGTGAGCTGCGTGTGATATAAGTGACTGGGAGCGGGGGGTATCAGCGTTTCCGACAATGCTAGAAGAAATTGACTCTGAAACGTACACCTATATTGCAAAATTTAGTATTCCGAAAATGTAGTGGCGAGATATATGCACCCACGTGCTATATGTTCGCGAAGAGAACTGAGGCTCCGATATACACATTGTTCCAGCGAGTGGGTCCATAATGGATGCATACTTCGATTCTGCCACATTATACTACACAGAGGTATCAACTAGAGGATATGAAGGGCTCGAGCAAAGTTGACACGCACTAGATTCGTCGCGAAAGGCACAATGCTCAGTACGAACACCACCAATGACCAGACGTAGCTCCTATCCCAGATTGCAAACACGCGCAGAGCGGAAAACACTGGCATGTGGAAGTAAGCGGGAATTTGAGTTGGGCGAGCTGCGCGAGGCTTACATGCGATTTGGACGAACCCAATGAGATTGAGTACCCAGGTCAAGATTTGAAGTGGTGTGCAGCTATTTTCCAAGTTCTGGTGAGTGACCTGTTACACACGGGTCTCGGAAAAGTGTGCATACTCCTATCACGAGCATTATCGCAAATTACACGTTGTCAAAGGCAGTCGTGACTTACATTCGGAGTTGACGGTGCAAGGTTCAGGATAGCCGTGAGGAGCAAACACCATCGTACCGAGCCGAGGAGCACAGAAGATGCGGTAATCGGTTTCCTCCACACAATCTCAATCTCATCACCAATTGTAATCAGAAACTCGTAAATTATCAGGCCTGAGGGACAGATGTGTGTGAGCGACGCAATGGGAAGCAAAGAGTGTACTTGCACACGGTAGCCGTGGTAATATGACCCCACGTGGCACTGAAAGACGACGTATGAGTATTAGCCAGTTAAGTACAAACAAGGGTGCCGCTTGCTGTGAGTAGGCTAGGAGAAGACCTTCGTCTGACTGTACCGGCATAGTCAACGTGGGGAAGCGGGAATGCGAGCTGTGTCGAGTGTAGGCTGCTATTTGCGAAGTTATGAGCAACTTGGCTGGTCGCCTATCAGCACTTGCTTTTTTGTAACTATTTCCAGATGTACGACCCTTGCCAGTACCGTCTCATTAAAGATTGCGAGGGGCTTCTGAAAGCGCTGGCATCGTAGAAAGTGGCCCCGTTTTGAGCGAAACTATACTAAAACAGTACAGAGGTCAGGTGTTAACCTTCTGAGGACGTGAAGGCCATTTACATCCTCGAAAGCAGCGGGATACAGGACTTCCGTAACGCCCACTTTCCCCGTTCGTGCTATTCGAATGTCGCCCATAACAATTCCTGCGCATGAAATTAGAGGGCTTTATATAACACCGGAGACTCTTTTATCACTAACATGGCTTGTTATCCGATGTAAGATAGAGCTTTCAGGCTTTCAAGGCTTTGGAGTCTGCGCCGGAATACGGGCCAC